TTGATTATAGATTAATAGATTTACTGGACAGAAATTACAAAGAACAAATCTGGTTCTTAAATCCTAATGAGTCAAATTGAAAGTGTCATAGAGTCACTGAACACCACCATGACATTAACATGAAATATAATATTGAAGAAATAAAAATATTGAATCTAATTAAAAACATAAATAAGTGATCAGTTCTTTACTGTTATGGTCTGTAAGATATATTTATTCTCAGTACTAGGTGTGGTCTCAACAAACCCATGACATTTCAACTATATTATTTTACCTTTTATCTGGAAATAGTGTCTGTTTATTCTTGCCATACGGTCCTCTGTATTAACTATTGCTCTAAAGGTCTTGCCATACAGTTTATTCCTCTGTATTTACTTTAGTTTCTTATTTTATTCTTGCATTTTGTTCTTCATTCATTTCCATTTAGTTTCCTTTGATTAGTATTATCCTCTCTTGGTTTATTGCCATGTCCGCTTTAGTTTATTTCCTGTTGCTAATTTATTTTATCATTTATTGACGCTCACCATCATTAATCTTCACTCATCACCTGCTGCGCCGCATAATCGTCATGTTTCACATCATGTGTTGATTTTTCACTGTTCAGCGTCGGATTTTCTGTTTTTATGCCATAATTCACATTTAGTTCGTTGCTCCGTTTTATGTCCCACTTCTCTTGTTTCAGAGGTACAAACACTGAATAGAAGGAGAGCTGCCATCGATACAGTTGCAGCCAAGCATGATTTAATGTTACACAATACAGTTTTACCAAGTTGCTCAAAGTCTAAACTGGCATTGTTGTGCATTTAAGGTGTAAAGTTTACCTTCGACCAAACGACCACCAAAGGCATCCTAGCGCCCTCCTTTTGTAAAAATGTCCGCCAGCGCCCCCTGTCGTCCTCTGAACGCCCCCCGGGGGGCGGTACCGCCCACGTTGAGAACCGCTATCCTAGAGAGTCTCTATCTCTGGGAAAATAATGTCACAGAAAATCAAACTTCCCGCTGGATTGATGAGGTAATGGATTTCACAGGTGATGGAACCGTTTTGGAACTTTTGTAGTTGTGATGGTCAAGGTTTGGAAGAAGCCATCTGTCATTATTGGAGATTTTCATACGAACCATGATTGTAAACACTTTGTCAAGTATTTTCTTCAAGTACATTTCTATGTTGTACTCAAGGTGTACGGATGGGAAATGTGGTCCTTTATTTTGGATTAATCAAAGGTCACAATTTTTTATTTTCATGAGTCAACTGGCTATAATTGGATCAGAATAAAAATCAAATCTTTGGGATGATCAGGATCAGGAGATGCACAAAGGTTTATCAACTGGAAATTGGAGAATCAACTGTAGACTGGGCAAATTGACCAAGAGTTGATTTTCAAAATGTTCCTCAGACTGAAGGTTTATGTTAATAATAATCCATTCAATGATAAGTAATTCAATAATAACTGGGTTGTTCTCTCGTATTTGTTTTCTCAACTTGAAGGTTCTGATAACGGCTTTAACTACGGTTGGTGAACTGGGTGATCCCAATGTCTTCAGTGACTGACCTTTCTGCAATGATTAGGTAAAACACATAGTTTGTGTTTTTCATTTGGACTGAAGCTGTCAGTCTTTTGACTGATAATACACCCAGCCAGACAACTTCTAGGCCTTTATCTCTGATGATATTGGTCAAAAGACAATGGCATGGGCAGATTGCCCATTAATTGTTCAGCAGCAGAAACCAAGTGTGCAAAGTAAAATGTCCGTATGGATTTTGTTTTCTGCAGTAAAAGTCAAGTTAAGGAACTGTAGCAAAGGATGCCTCATGCCTCCACCTCCACTATCTACCCTTTCCCAAATGGGCAGCTGACCGGACAAGTCGAAGTGATGGGACCAGATGACCTCATGGTGTCTGTCGCAAGGTGATGGTGTTTCAACTGACAGTCTGATGTTGATTAAACCTACAGGTACATGCCCTGCAGCTCAGTATGAGCTGCAGGGCATTGTGACATTCTTCTCTTGTTTGTCACCTTGACAATCTTGCTGTTTCCTTGAGCGGGCCATTTGTGGGCAGGATTATAACCGAGTCAGGGGTCATCCTCAAAAGCCTCATTTTAGACTTCTTCTGGCCTAACCAAAGAACGGGACAACCCCAGTCTAACCAGGCGGTGCACCCACTTAGAGCTTCATCCGTTACTGTATAATCTCATTTGTAGGTTTCGTTTCATTCACTTTTTCAAATTCTGTTTGTCATTTGCGATTTAGAGAAACAGTCTGGAGCTGGGAAAGAGGCCTCTGACGTTCCTCAGGCCTGCAGTGATGGTTCTAACCTGGAACAAGTGTGGCACCTACATGGCCCTGAGTATCTCAGCTGGACTAAAATCGCTTGAGTGACGTCACACAGGTCTGCTGACAGATTTGATTATCTTTCTGAACTGATCTGATCTAACGATCATTGAAAACATTTAAACTGTTTGCTGCAGACGCTAGTCAATCTCCTGTTTCTCCACAAGGAGAAAAATGACATGCTCTCTGGGAGGAACGCCTCCTCAGCCTCCTGACAATAAGTGTGACGTTGTGCTTAAACCTAAACTCTGACTTGTCTTGCTGAGGTATCAGTCATTTTTAAAGTAATTGTTTTCTTCTCTCTCTCCCCTCCCATCAGCTGAGTTTCTGGAAGAGACTGTGTAGCTTTTGCGTACAACGAGCCATCTAGTTGTTAAGCTAAAAAAATTCAATTATCTGGCAGTAATGAAAACAAAATGACAGTACGCAAAAAGTTGTACTGTGTTTGATGTTGCTGTTGTCTTGAAACTCGGAAACTTAATACATTATTTGGTTTTACAGTGCCTTGGAAAAAGTACCCTTTGAACTTTTTCACATTTTTATCATTACAACCAAAGACCCATATCATTTTTGGGGGGTTTCATGTGTTTGGCAAACACAAAGTCTTTAAAACTGGGCTATGTATATTTTTATATATATATATATATATGTTTTACATATTCATTAAAACTGTCACTATGTTGTGACAGAATGATATGAGACAGATGATCTGTGAAAAAAATCAGGCTCCTCTGCCTTCTCCCAGTGCTAACTACAAAAATAATCACTGCAGTCAGAAACAGTCAATCAGAACCAGGAGGAGGGTCTTAGCGCTGTCAGTCAAGCTTGTGTACTTACCTCTGACTGCCTCCCCCATTGTCTCTGCTACTCTACAGCTAGTTCAACACAATGCAGCCCGCCATGAATGCTAAGGCTAGTTAGCATGACCACTGATGATGGCGGGTAAACAGTTTTTCTGGGATGGCAAGTTGCTTCTCTGCTGTTAATTCATTTAGCAGCACGTACATGGAGTCACAATTGACAGTACTAAGACCTTTCTCCTGGCTCAGGTTGGTTGTTTTTGATCAGAAGCGTGCATCTCTAGAGACGGCAATAGTAGCTCAGGGAGAAGGTGAGGGAAGACCCTGGAGGACACCGTTTCATAAATTGAAACACATTCTTCCACGTGTTTGTAGCGCCCCCTGCGTTGCTTATATTCTGACAGTAATGGCGTTTTATCATTCAAAGGTATGCCACACTTTTCAGGATCTTTAGTTGGTCAAATACATGAAACAAATTAATGGATCATGAATACTTTTTAATGGTGTTGTGAAGGCTTTGTTGCTATTTCCTGCTCTCAATAAAATCACCAGGACTGTCTGTTGAGATTAATTACTTTCAACCACAAGAAGACAAACTTGTTAACTCGCATTGTGTAGCAGGAACTCGTTGCTGATCTTCAGTCAAGATTCTGTCACACGTTCATGCTGACTGCGTCATAAGAAAAAAAACAGCTGTCATCCTTACTTTCTGACATTTCTCTTTTTCACTCTATAGGCTTAATTTTTCGGAAAACAGATTTTTTTTTGTCATTAGTCCAAATATCCATAAGAACATTTTATGTAGAATAAAACCAGCCGAGAGTTTCAGTTTCAACCCATACGCTAGATCTAGTAACGTTGTGGTCCTGAAAAGAAAACAAGACTTATGTAATATGATGGAGTCTCAGAAACATGTCTCTACATGTGTTCACAGATCGAGGACTAAAAGGGATGCAAGAATATTCAGGAATATACAGCCTAAAGAGATATTTATACCCAGATGCTTATTGATATAAACAAGAGAGAAAATGTCCAAGAGATTTCTAAATAACTACTCAAATTACAACATGTCCCCAATCGCCATATCATCCACTCTGGTTTGTCCACAGACGTTTTCATAAAATTCTATAAAAATGTATCTATGTATACATGAAGGCTTATGTGTACGTACAAGTAATATTTAGTTAAATCTACCTTAGCAAGTTCAAGAGAAAAATCCTTGCGACCATCAGTCAATTCAAACATCAGGTTTTTGTATATTTCTGGTTCAATGTACAATTATTTAACTTTTTTCTATTTTAAAATATTGAATGAAAAGCTCAGCCCAAAGCAAACTGTGGACACTTTATGGCTTTTCAAAGTTAGGATGAGTTGGAGGTGTTTTTCTCTTTTGTCTGTCATGCAGCATCTTGTCTTCACTGGGCAAGCCGGAAATATTTATCAGGGTATGTTCAAATGATCTCATGCGAGAAAACTTTGTCATAAGTCATTTGGCAGGAGCTGAAATCAGTTTCAGCATTGATCTTTGTCCTCTTCAATATTGTTGTTTTAATGCTTTAAAAAAAACTGATGTACATGTAACCCAGGCTTTCTTTTGTATGACTGAGAGTTAGCACAAATAGCAGTTTTCTTGATTTTTTTTAACTCTGTTTTTGCCAGTGTTAGGCTAATACAGTGTTTAGTTTTTTGGGTTTTTTTTGCTTCTTTAAGAATTGCATACTGTGTTCATAAACTGACACTGTGCACACTCCTAGAAGACCAAAGTCATTTATTTACTTTGATTGTTGCCTAGATAATCTCTTCTACTGACACTGAAACAGATAATCCAGCATATTAATTCTCTGTCAACAAATGGTGGCTGTCCTTGGACATCGATGGAGCATTAAATATCAGAAAATCTGCAAGTAATGTTAACCCACTCTAAATAAGGATTCTGTTTAGTAACTTTTATACTTTTTTTTTTGCCAATTAATAATGCTGCAGCAATGGAAACCTAAATGAATGTTCTGTAAAAACAAAATGCATCGTACGTTTTTAAACATGTGAAGAAACATGTCATTCCATCTCCCATCACTACATACATCATTCAACTCCTGAGATTCCAGTAGCATGAATTTTGTCCTTCAGTTAATGCATTACAATATCCTCTCTAATTAAACTGTTTTCCATGAGGCAGACAATAATATTTACAATGAGATGTACATGAAGTTTTCAAATAACTTATATTTTGCATTATGCATCTATCTTTTGTGGAAGTTTCTGATAAAAGCTCTACTACTAAAAACATGTAACAACCATAAGAGGTTTGCTTACCAACTACTTTTCCCCCACTGATATATTTTATGTAATCTGTGTAAGCAAAATTGCAACATTTTACAGGTGACATTCTTCCAACTCTGCGGCTCTGTAGGTCACACTGCTGCTACTTTTCTCAGATCTCAGAAAATGTTCTCCGACTATGTCTTGCATATCTCAGTCTTCAATAGTCGTGGAGTCCCAAATGTTAGTGGCCCAACTCCTTTATCTCTTTCTGAGCGATACCATTTAATTTCTGTAGGCTACAAATTTTAAAAGCAGCTACACACAGGAAGTTTTCTAAAAATATGTTAGTGTTCTTCTAAACATTAGGGTGAAATAACCCCAGGGTACCTGTAGGACATGAATAAAAGCTGATGTTTATCAGATCTAACACGGATTCAACCAAGCGCCTAATAAAAGTCTTCAGAAAGCAACAGAGTCTAATGACGAGGAAAACGATCCCTGTCGGTCCACATTCAAGTGATATTTGTGGTTGAACCTTATCGCCGCTCATTCCTCAGCCACTGCTCGTCAGGGAGGGACTATTTTTTTCCTCTACCGTGATAACCGCTGTGGGCGGAGAGCTGAAAGCTCTGGAAGGAGGTGTTGGCTACATGCGGGCCAGCAGTAATAATAATAGAGTTACCTCCTCCTCGGCAGGAGTCAGGAGGAAGTGTTGCGTCGCGTCTGGACTTACCTGCCATTGAGTCGATTTAATCCGCCGAACTCACCTGGACTAATACAAACTGGCAGTAAGTAAAAGTCACTTTCAAAGTTAAACATTAACTCTTCACTGAGCTGTTTTCGCTTCATAAAGGCTACTATAGTCCTTTCAAACCAGCTATTGTGAGGATTTAAAGGGAATTTTGAAAGCTCGTACTTCCGCGTGAACGTCTTTTAATTGGCTAACAACTTGTTAAGTGGGGGGGTTGATCGGGAAACAAAATGATGTAATAGTCGGTCAGGATCCTGTAACGTCGCTGTATTTCCATGTCTGAACTGCTTCCTTGAACTCTCGTCCAGATTCAGCCTTCCTTATCACGACCTGACCGGAGCACCATGGAGCCCAAAGCAGCGAGCAAGGACCGGTTCTTCATAGTCATCCGCGGGAAGTCGCGGAGAGGCTTCTGCCGCGGCTGCATCGGTCGCGTGGAGGCGGAGACGGGGCGCGGGGAGCTGACGGGGCTCATGTACGGCTGCAGCTCCAACGCCGGGAGCCCCAAGAACGGGGGCTTGGTGAGGACGGAGGACGCGTACCCTCTGACCCGACACCAGGCCCAGCTGCTGCTCTACATCTCCAGCCCCAGCAGACGCCTGGAGATGCTGTGCAACCCGCAGCTCTTCTCAGCCATCTGCGAGCTGACCCCGGGCGACCTGGTGGTGATCAGGTACAAGAAGGGCCACGTTCCCGGGATGGTGAAGAACCTGATGCAGATCGGAAAGAAGGAGAGCAAGGACGACCTCAACATGCTGGGCTTCGAGGTGGAATTTGTGGTGAGTTTGTCTGCTTTTCTTTTCCCTCAATTAACACACAAATTGATCCTCAGTTGCATGTTGATGAATCATGAGCAAATAATCCCTTATGGTCTTTCCAAAATTGTCCAAAGATTATCAGCAAGATTGAGTTGTTTGCAGAACGTCACATGCAAGCATGCTTGATTTTAAGATCCGTGTACGTAAAGCTGTTTGCTTTCCAGTAACCACTTGTTCTCCGTTTCTGTCTAAGGACTCCGAAGACAACTTGTCGCCCAAACAACTTGGACAGCTTCCCATTTTCAGCGCTTCAGACATCATCCAGGTGGTCCCGTCTTACTCCGTCCCCCTGGGACTGCAGTACAGAGACATCAAAAGAGGCGGTGAGTTCAACCAGACCTGAGCTGAAAATGTCAAAACACCTCGATGTTCCAGCAGGCCATTCTTTAAAGAATCTCCGCTCTGAAAGTATCGGATTTTGATCAAAGACCTGTGATACCTGAAGGGGTGGGGGGGATGCAGGCAATGCACTCATGTACAACTTGTCACATGTACAGCCGGAAAGACCAGTTCTGTCGCTCTGGAATGTATGACAGTAGATTTTGTCACATGATCTTGCATTTCTTTGCAGCTGGCGCTCATGAAACTGTCTACATATTTTCACTGGAGGCGTGTAGATACAGTGCCTTGCAAAAACACTCACACCCCTTGAACATTTCTTTGCGTTTTGTCACACACAAACTTTAGAGAATTTTAACATTTTTCGTTGACCTTCGTGAACTCAGCTGTCCTATTGGACACCTCAGTAGTGAGGGCACTGTTTCAGCCTTCGTGATGCTAGCTGCATTTAGCATCACGAAGGCTGAAGAACATACCAGACAGGTCAGAGTGTGTGTTGCGGTAGGGCTGGGTTATAAAACTATCTCAACACTGCAAAAACACAACATATGATGTATTTAGTGCAAATACCTTAATACACTTGAAATATAACAAAACTAACTTACAAGTAACTTTTTGGCAAGATGTAAGAGCCTGTTTTAAGTCAGTAATTCCTATTCCAACAAGACAATTTTTCTATGTTACAAGTACTTTAAAAAAAATCAAGATGAAGGAGTAATTGACTTAAAACAAGCTCCTATATCTTTGCTAAAAAGCTAATTGTAAGTTTTTGTCTTTTTATGTAGATATTTGCACAAGAAATATAGGCAAAAAATATTTGGTAAGATTTTGTGGTCTTTTTGTGATTTTTTTTTTTTTTTTTTTAACAGGGATCCTTTGGGGGGCTCACAGGTACAAAAAAAAAAGTTTTGGTCTACACTGTAAAAACACAATTTGTGGCACTGCATATCTTCCTGAAAACACTGAAACGCCAATAGTGAAACATGGCTCTCCTTCCACTTCATCACCGTGTGCCACTTTATTTTGGCCTTCTTCATAAAATCCTGATGAAATATTTTAAAGCTTGTGGCTTTGGAGATAAAATGTAGAGAAAAACAAACTTCTGGGGATGTGACGCATACGCAGGACATCACACTTATGGTGCCATGTTGGCTGGAAGCGTGTCGAGACGCCATGTGATCAGCCTGGAAGTTAAAAATAAAAAAGAGTCTCATGACTCTTTCCCCTCCCTCTCACTCACACACCTGTCATACCTGTCTGCAGGCTCAACTGGGAAAGTGGTGATGCGCATCAACTCCATGCCAAGTACCGGGACGAGCAGAAGACAAGTCACCAACAGCCAATCAATGCGAAGCGTCGCTCCAGGCCGGACGCAGAGCGAGCCTCCTGTCCCTCTAGAGGTCGGCTCCTTGGTGGAGGTCGTCAACAACGCAGGGGTCACGGTGTACGGAGTGATCCGGTGGTTGGGGATCCCAGAGGGGAAGCTGGAGACATGGGCCGGGGTGGAGCTGGTGGGGGATTCAGAGTTTGCATCAATGTGCTTCTGGTTTTGTTGCAAACGGCGATTGTGCTCATTTTACTATGATGTGGTGGCAGGACTATGAAGTGGCGGGCTGCTCTGACGGGGTGTACAAAGATCAGCGGTACTTCACTTGCAAGGAGAACTGCGCTTTGTTTGTTCCCGTCACAAAATGCAGCCCAGACAGCCGGTTCGTCTGCTCCTCCACAGAGATGGAGACGTTCAACACCACAGAAATCCCTCCAGGTTTGATATTTGCTTCCAGTTATGCACACACAACTGAAACTACACACACTTGTACATTTCTATTGTAAATCTGGAGATGTACAACAATGCGGCCATATTATGGAAAATTATAGTTGCTGCTCTAAATGCAAGCAGCTGCAAAGGAGTGTGTAACACTAGGCCTGTCGCAATAAATCAGTTAATCGCATCGTGAAGTAAAACAAACTCAGAAATTTTCATTTGCATA